CTAGGGGGTCAGAATCCCCCAACTCGCAGTTGCCAGTGCCCCCCAATTTATTTAGTACTCCACAGGATATGACATAAATATACTTACTGGAAAAGAACAGGTGTGAAATACTATCTTGTTAGATACTTCACCTTAACTCACCTCTTCTCAAGATCCAATATAGTAAAGAATGGACCATGCCTTTTGTGTAAGGTTGAGAAATTCACAATAAATATTTTCTCACTCTATTAGTGTCAGTCATTACCATCCTGCATATAGAATACATGGTCTTCCTGGATGACTGTCAATGCATTTAGTTCCCAGCAGGCATGTAACCTAAGTCAGCTCAACAAAAAGGTAAGTAATACCTACAGTCCTTATTTATATTGAGCTAATAGCTCAGTGGTACATGAAAAATGGATAACCTGTAGCAAGGCAACACCATCATTCTCACCAATTGACCTGACAGTAGGTAAGCACCATCAATGCATACGTTTGCAAATGTATTATTTTTGAATGTCTACCAAGGAATGATGACATAGCACCCTAATGACGTAAGTTTTGACATTTCACCTTGGATACCCTGGCTACTGATGACCTAAAGCTTATTTTTCCTGACCATTACATCGTATATATTGTGCTGACTCTTCTATTTCCCCCGGCGGGACATTTTCTATTCGACTAGAGTTACTTCCATGACACGAAAGTCACGAAGAATATGTTATTTATTTTACAACGAAATCACTTCCCCCGTATTACCCATCACGTGCGGCAGCATGCCAGAGTTGGTTAATGGGTGGGACTCCTACTAAAATACGAGGCATCTCATGGGCTTTGCCTTCGCGGGTTCGAATCCCGCTGCTGTCAATTTTCTCATTCACAACACTAGGTTTGCTCACCAAACCCACAGGTTTCTATTAGTTGGCAAGGACACCCAAGATAGAAAGGGTACAAATCTTTACATTTCAACTCACCGACGAGGAGGAACCACTTTACTAGTACTATCCTTAACCAACCCATGACTGTTTTGGCAAAGGCTCCGCCGGAAATATTATTCTCCAGAATATTGTAAACAAAAATTTACTCCCCGTCTTTTCTTCCAACCTACCCGCTCTAATAATCATCACCCCGGGTCAATACTTCCTTGCAAGTAGGACGCAACAAAATGGTGTGCTCGAATTGGGCCGTGTAGGAACCTTCGATATCACATAACGGTGGATATGCCCCCACAATGCCAGAGTCAACCAGGCTACGCAGGCCCAGTAAATACTTGGATTCCCCCACTCGGTCCAAATAACGGCGACAAAAGGGCAACGTACCAAAATGCTTGTTAATCGACTGGAGCAACGGTTTCGCCCGGGCAACCCCAGTGGACTTGGCGGTGGCACTTGGGACTTTGGCATAGTGACTGCACACACCATCTTCGTGTACATAACCCTTACCGGTACTGCCAAAGGTTTCGATGGCGAAATATTCGCCTTCCTCCATCTTGGTGTTATCACCGTTGCGTATAATGGGCACGGATTTACCCGCGTGGATGATATAGGGGTCAATGGAATGCCCGTAAAGATTGCGGATGGGTTTAACTTGGTACGTTTTACCGTCCAGTTCCACCTCGTACGACGTCATGACTTCCTCAATCACAGCGCCAATGTCACCGAGTCGAACATCGATACCGGCCTCCCGAATTCCGGCGTTGGTGGCTTCCTTAACGGCGGTGACCAAATTATCATACCTGGGGTTGAACGTTACAGTGAATGCTGAATCCATAATCCGGCCCTTGACGTGAGTTCCGAAATCTACCTTGAGTACGTCGTCTTCCTTCAACACCACTTTTTCACCCGCGTTTGGGGTATAATGGGCGGCACAATGGTTCAACGACACTCCAGTGGGGAATCCGATTCCGGCTTCCATCCCGTTGGCTTTAATCAACGACCGGGTACCATTCTCAATCAATTCGCACAAATCGGTAAGGTCCATACCGGGCTTAATAACTTCCCGCACGTATTTGCGTACCCGACGGTGCACTTCGGCCCCTTTACGAGCGTCATTGTAGTCGGCCGTATGGAGTCGCTCCAAGTGGCGCTTCTCTTCGCTAGTCGTACGCCACAAATTGTCATCCTTGTATTGACAAATCTCGCCTTCGGGAAAAATGCCATCGGGGTACAACTGGGACAGCGGCGTTCGGAAGGCCTCCACGGTGGTCGGGCCGGAACCCTTGGCGTTGGAAGTTTTCTGGGTCGCTGTAGAACTCTCCTTTTCCTCCGAAATCCGCATTTCTTGTTTAAAACTTTCCAGAATGGCGTCAAAATCATCTTGACCCTTGGCGGTGGACTTTTTTCCTTTACCTTTGCCCTTCCCTTTGCCCTTTTGGGCCTTGTTGTTTTTGGACTTGGCGGTTGCTGTGGATACCATGCTGTTCACTTATGCAACTTTAATTTGGTAAAGGGAAAAAAAAAGTTATAAAACAAGGCCAACGATGAATAATGAAATCTAATAGAAAGTGTAGAATTAAAGCGCATAAGATGTGGTAAAAAAACGGGGGGGGGGAACCGTCATTTCACCCGAAAGAAAACAGCCATAAGTAGCATCATTACAACCTCGCAAACTGACCAGCCAATGGGATGTGTCACGTGGCAAGTACCGCCAATCCCACATTAACGACCACGAGTGTGGGATATCTACCACCATGAACTACATAACCAATGTTTAGGACAACATCCGCGCTGCTACAGAGTTGTGTTTCATTTCGAAGAGTATATTCACTTGTTTTCATTTTTTTGAAAAATATTATTTTTTTATGTTATTAGACATACACCTCTGAAAGTTGAGAATAACAGTGAGTTTGCCATGCAATCCTGTAAAGCTACACTTCGTTGGTTGGGTCACCACGGATTGCAAGGTACCAATGCAGGTCCGTCCCGCTTACCACTATTATCCACAAAATGGACAGACGGTATACATACCCCTTGCCGGGGGATAAGCACGCACCGTCAACCAAACCAACACAGTCATTATGAAACCCTGGGGATACACCCTACAGCCAGTCGACAGGATATTAAGAAAAGGTTTTATGAGCTATCCATGCAATACCACCCCGATCGTAACCAGGGCAATGAGGAAGCCCATTCCCGGTTTGTCAAGTTTAGCGAAGCGTATGACGTTCTCCGTGACGACAGAAAAAGACGTGATCACGATCGCATGCTCCGTTTGCACCACCACCGTCACTACCAACAACCTGGCAGATCCCACACTATGGATAACCACTCCCGACCTTCCCAATATTATTCCCGACAAACTCGTTCGTCACCCCAGTACCAACGTAACCGTTCGGCATCGTGGACCTACCAACAAGGCTATGCCCGGCCCGCTGGAGAAACGGCAGGTGCCCAAGAAGGGGATAGTGGACCCCAATCGCAATTTTGGACCACTGCCAGTAGAGCCCGGCGCTGGGATCGGAATTATCCCTTTGCCGAGACCCAAAACAAGTCGACGAGTCATAGTGATCATAACAATGTTTACCATGGGTTACACGATCTTCCCCCGTCAGATTTAGACGTTTATATAAAACGGGTTTCTAGCGTTGTGTCCACTCTATCTATTACGGGCGGTAGTCTCCTTGTGGCTTTATACGTGACCTACTTTTATGATACTCATATGAAAACTGAGCCATCACAGAAAATCGACGCCACGGAATTTGTTGGCAAGTAATTTATTTCGGTAACGTATCATGTGGTGTTTGTAGTCGGGTCGACAACCCCCAATTTTTCATTCTTCTACTCGTGGAATATTAACTTGCTTGATGTTTCTTTGCTCTCGTTCGTTTTGTTCGTTTGGAGATATGCTGACATTGAGGATACAGTTCGTGTACTGGGTTCTCTCTCCCATTTTGTTCACTCTTGTGGGACTCAGTTTATATACTGTTTACCTCAGTTTTATACTATGTTTACATGCTCCATGCATGACTCAACAGTTTAGCTAAGGTTATAAGTTTATGAAAGATTATCGTTTGTCCAAGTATTGACATATCATGTAATAATAAATTGACCAATTTCATTTCTATGTTCAGCTACTTCTATTTCGGTTATCGTACATTTAATGACAGGTTGCAGCAAGTCTCAGTGGAAAGTGCTGTGGTTGGCTACTTTGAACTTGTAATTCTGACATGGTCCTCATTATTTTATTTTTTTTATATTCCAATATAATTACTATTTTACGAACAGCAGCTACAAACATTACCATTACCACTCTTACATTACAACATATGGACATACTTGCCATTGTTACTTTTTAACTTGTATTGCATTCGTCTAGACATTGTTTTACAGGGTCGAACCATCCTATAGTGGTCCGACGGAGTAGTAAACCATGCTATTCCTCCTAATCCTTGGTTATGCATTCTCCACCCTTTATTATACCCTTCCGTTGGTCGCGCTACCACTGGCCTTTACTCTGGGTGAACCGTCGTTGGGAATTCACCTCTCTTTCGGATTCTTCCTCAATGCGCTCCTCCATAGTCTACTATGCCTCATTTGGCGCCGGAGTGCGGGACTCGGTCTATTGGAAACTTCAGGCAACGGTATACTGGTAGGTTTAGCCCTGGGTAGTCCCGCCACACTGCATTGGCTACACTGGCCCAGTGAACTATGGCGGTACGGGCTAGAATGGGTTACACCGGCCAGTCTCATATTGGAAAGTACGGCTACTTTTGTTATTATCGACGCCTTGGGTCGGGCCACTCGGAGGTTGGTGGCGGAGGATATCGGTTCTAACGGTGACGACGATAGCTACCAACGACGGTTTGCGTTGTTGATTATAGCCTCGGTGGGATACCTGGTACCGGCGGTCTACCTCCACCGGTTATTCACGGGACCTGAAAGTCCCCTCACCGTGGAAACGGCCGCGCTAGTCGCGATGGCGTTTACTAGCGCTTTCATCTTAGGATTGGCGGCGTTGGTCAGCCGACGGGGCACCGTGGTGGAATCGGCGGCCATGTTAAGTTATACGAGTTTCGGTGTGTATTTCGCATTGGCCTCTACGGCCGCATCGACTATTGCTTACGGACATCCGTCGGCGTCGTGGCTAGACATGATCAAATACCGAGCTATGCAGGTCCCCGTGGGGGTGACCAAACGGGCCTTTCGTGCCGTGTTTTACCCGCTGATGGCTGCGCTTTTTCCTTATACCCATGTGTTGGCCGCAGTGGGTAAAGTCTACTCACTCAGGTTCGTAGCGTCGGTGCTTTACCGGGCGGTGATCCTGGTGTTGGGGGGTTACCTCGTGCGCCAATTTCTCCGGACTAATGGTCGACCCGTCACAGGTACAATGGATGATTCGGGTCAATCGAGTGACGAGAATACGGGCTTCCTGGATGTCTTGGCTAGTCAGGGTGGGAATTTTTCAGCGGATGATACCACTTCCCTCTTGAACGGAGTGATGAGTGGTCATCGATTCAAAAAGATGATGCGTCGTTTAGCCGATTTCACGCGTCCTTTATGGTTAATGGTATACACCCATTCCTTGATTCATCACCAAGCACCGGACGATGCCTGGTGGAGGTGGTTTGCTACATTTTTATGCATCACCCTGTTTGGCCTACAACTGGCGGTGTCGTCGGATGAAAGTGACGAAGTGTGGTAATAATGGAATTACTTAGGGGGATTATCGGACTTGATCACCTGAGTTTTATGTGTTACCCTTTCCATTATCTTCCTCCATCTCACTTGATTTTTTTTACTTTCTTCACACGAATCACTACCTGTTGACAAGGATAATTCAGGTCATCAGTATTTTTGCCAAGCCATTTTTTGGCCAAATTTGTGGATTCCACACATACTTTTTTTTTAATGTGAACCAACACATTCTCA